CCGGTATGGGGGCAACACTGAGGGTTGTGATCCGTTGCCGGACACAGAAAAAGGAGAAAAATAAATAAATAAAAAAAATAAAAATTATCGATCTCATTTTCTATAGTATTCTAAGATAAAGTATGTCAAAGCAGGCCATTCATTTTACCGTGAAAGAGTCAACCCATTATTTCTTAAGGTAGAAGGTACTGTTCTAGTTCACTTAGAAGGACAGAGGAGTGGGTGGAAGTTGTGGAAGTGGAGACAGTGAGTATAGGCCATACTTTGAAGATATTTATTGACAAGTAAGAGAGAAAAATAATTTGGTAGGAAAGGGTAGTGCAGTAAAGAGACTTCTTTACTTAAGCTGGAAGGGTCTTGAAGAAAATAATGGAAAGTAATGGAACAAACAGGGATAGTTTATGAAGCAACATTCCAAAGAAGAGAAGAAGGAATGGAGTTTTTCATACTGTATGCAATATACTGAAGGAGGAATTAGCCTATTTTAAGGAGGAAGAGGTTAGGATTGTCAAGTTTATGGGTAAATCTACAGGCTGAGGGAAGGCAAAGTGAGACTGCAACTGGTGGCCATTAATTTTTATAAGATGTATGAACACTGTTATTAGCTAAATGAAGAGGCAAACTTAGAGGTAGGAGTCTTCAGGCAGGGCAAGTGACCAGGGATAAGTCAAAGGATGACTAAATTGAATATAGAAACTATCTGTAAAGCTAAGATACTTTGACTTAAGAACTATGGAGGATATCTTAGGGGTGGGTGGGGTTTTAAGAAGATAGATCTGGCATCCTTTGAAGAGTGGATCCTTTGAATGAGTAGAACGAGAGTAGAAACACAACATTTAAGGAAATCCAGAACTAAGGTGGAGATGATGAGAGAGATGAAAATAGGCACAATGAATTGAATTAATACACATTTTTGAAAACAAAAATACTATTTGGAGAATTATAATTTTATAATAATAATGAACTACCTAGATCTGTGGAAGATTAAAAAGTAGGAAGTGCAGGCTCTCCAGTTAACTCAGTTGGTTAGAACACAGCCTTATAACACCAAGGTCAAGGGTTCAGATCCCCTTACTGGCCAGCTGCCAAAAAAATAAAAGTAACTTATAACACCAAGGTCAAGGGTTCAGATCCCCTTACTGGCCAGCTGCCAAAAAAATAAAAGAAAGTAGGAACTGCAATATCACAAGCTCTGTCCTCAAAACTAAAATCTGGTGATGGAGCTCCAAAAATACAAAGTAAGGACCGACCTTACTTTGGAGTACCTAGTTGGAGTACCTAGCACAGTCGGGTCTGAAAACAAGTTGGGGTAGAGTTCCCAGGTCCAAGCAGCAGGACTAAATAGCAAGCCCCAGTCAACAGATAGGGGTGGAGAAGGGTTTCTTGAACTGACTACTGACAGACATAGGCTTTGGAGGGAGGTGCTACGAGTTACTAAAGAAATCTGAGGGGC